TAGACACTTCTAATTCTCTTTTGACTGCCATCCGAATATGTGCGACTGAATAGAAGAAAATCAGAGAGACGAAAAATGAACTATGTTATTAGAAAGCCTGCTTATAAACGATAAAGATAATGGCATTGTAGATGATTCTGACAGGGGTAATCTGAGTATTGATATAGTAGAATATCGTGGTGAATTCAAATTGGCGTTGTTTGATGCTGTCTATTGTCATTAGTCATGTTGATTGGAATCATTCTCTCATTTAGTTGATTCTCAGTTCCATCTAGAAGTATCTGATTTTAAATGGATATAAAGCTAAGTCTGTTATCATGCTCATTTACAAAGTTGAAATCAATGTAGAAATACGTCGAATTTTGCACGAAGTTACTTTGCTCCCAAGTTTGTGGTGAGCCAGTGTTTGTGTTTTGATGATTAGTGAAGTGTTTTCTAGTCATTGCTTGTCATTCATTTTTATTCGGTCGATGAATTTTATGACACATAAAAAGGCCATGACAAATGTCTGTTACAAGCAAGATAAATTCTTGACAGAAATCTTCGAAAATATATCTGGAAATGAATGATTTTTCGTCAGACATTTGTATTATGACCAGTGAAAATGTTCCGAATAATCTACTTCTCTACTAACTGAGATATAGTGAACCTAAAAATGAGACATAGCCATCGTCCATTTTATGTGAAGAAATGTCGCTATTACACCAAATAAATAGACTTTGCACAAACACTTTGCTATTCTTCACTGTGAAACAATTAAAGATAGAGATTTGCTAAGTTATTGAGCTCACTATTAATCTTACGAATATTTTCTTTTTCATGTTCTAGTAGGTTTTCGTTTGAATAAGAATGAAGAATCATTGGCGCCATTATTCTAGTGCCGACAACAAAAAACTCTTCATAACATTCATGAATATTTATTTAGTGTTCGACAATGCAAAAGTAAGATAAATCTGAGCAGTTTTTGTGAGTTTGCATGCCAAGCAAAGTATAATGAGTGTTTCATGAACGTTGATTGCAGTGAAATTATTATGGATATGATCAGGTTCAAAGTTTCAAGCTGAGAACAAGAAATGATTCTATGAATTTATTAAGTATATTTCAAAAAGGGAACATAGCGAGCCCATTCTAACCAGCTGCTTTTCGCTCGCCAACATCGTCGCTGATGTGTCAGATCTAATATCTTTGTTGCATATCTTGACTTGCTCAAAATCATCCGCCGCCAAAAAGCATTACGTAGTCTTTCATATTGATAGCCGTCGGACGATGATGATGAATTCGATTGCGCTTTCTTTTTCATTGCAATTTCTTGCAGTTGATCACGTAAAAATGATTCGGTTAGATCTGTATGATTATTAATAATCACAATGGGTAAGTTTTTGTAGAGACTATTTAATGTTGAGTTCCATACGATCGGTATGATATCGAGGTAAAGTGCTTCCCATGTTCGATGACAGTCAATGCCATTGCCACGCGGTGATATCCAAAATGGATAGTGACGATTGCGTTCATAGATTCTTATTATTCTGAAAATATGAACACCGTGTGGTTTCTTGATACATTTAACAAAAGAAACCGGTTTGTCTGAATTACACATATCTGACCAAATACGCGAACGAAGTCCTGTTCCATCTGTAATAGAATCGAAATTGATCAATGCTAAATTATTTTGATCGATGCCAGGAGCAGATAGAACTCGCTTAGTCATATCCAGTAGATTGATATAATGTGAGGGTTCATCGCTACTACCATATAATGGTGGAAATGAATGACTGGGATGTGTTTTTGTTTGGATACTTTTGATCGCATCGCCCATTTCGTAGCAGTTGATACCTATAATATCAATAATGAAGAAATGTCGTATAACCATTAAAGAAGAAAATAGGATATATTAGCCCATTACAAATGATCTTGTTCAGTCCAAAGAAAAATAAAATCGAAGTTCTTAGTATTTCCGTTAGTAGATGCGCTATTGAGCTTAAATTTGATTCTAATTCTTAAATGTTAATCGAATAAAATTTTTATTTGAATTTTTCACGAAGTAACATTTTCAAGTGTCTCGATTGCTTTTTAACCTAGGCTATATTCAGATGATAGGCCACGATGATTAATGTGAAACTCTAAGAAGATTCTGTTATCTGCATCTTTATTCTTTACATAGCAAATTTTTACAAAATTTTTTCAACAGACACAATGTTGTGACTTGCCTCAAGTATCCATGAACAAAGCAATCGGCCACTTGGAAATGTTTTTGAACTTCGATTATTGTGTACTTAAAATTTGAAAACTTGAAAAAAAATATTCAACTATTTAACAAAACACTGGCTAGTGTGCTTCACGAGCAGCCAGTTGCTGCGAACAAGGTCTAAATTTCAAGTATTCAATAACTGAACTTCAAGCTCAGGTTCAATTGATATAAAAAAAAATCGAATTAATGAAATAAAAGAAGAAAATCGTGATTGATGAAAAAGAATAAAAAAAAGTACTTGATCAGTTCAAGAAAAACGAGAATTTATTTGATTTGCTAAGTCTGTTATGGAAGATATGGTAGATACTTGTACCTTTGTAAAAATTTGTGATTTTTTTTGGCAGATAAGAATTAGCATTAAATTTTAATTAAAAAAACGCATGAAGTCATCTCTGTTAGATATCTTATACATGTTGTGCCAATACTCATAGCGCTCTCATGATATCCTCATCTTTCCTGTCTTTTTATTCTTCCTTCCTCATTTTTTCTCTCAGTCTTATAAGGAACACGGAAAATTTTGAGACAAAATATTTGCACATTTTTTTCGCTCAAATGGCAATGTTTCATGTGACGATAATTGATCATCATACTGATTGTTGTGTGTGTTATATTCGTTCTGCTCTATTGGAGTTGCGGACCAAGTTCTGATCACATCTGTATATACTGACATTCCCCTGAGGAAGAAAGTAGGTTCACACTTGGAGAGAGAGCATAGTCGAAAAAAATATTATGCTATAAAAATATGTAACAAATCGAAATTAGTGTTCAAAGTGTCAGTATATCAAAACCCTAAACTTTGAATTTTGCTTCAGTGTATGCCTAGTTTCAAATGGCATAGGCACTCATGAGAATCAATTTGTTTTTACACTTCAGAAGAGTCAAAATTTACGGGTGAGAACCAGAACTGGATGCTCTTTCTGAATATCAGTTCGAAAATCGTTGTTGAGTTTTGCTTGAGAGTAATAAGGAAATCATTGAAAGACTTGTAAATATAGTTTGGATGGAACAATCATGTTCAAGTTTCTACATAATATATTGTTTATTTTGAACCTTTTCACAAGTCTTAAAAGCGGTTGAATTTAATAGTTTTGTAGAGCATACAATTTCGTACAAAATATTGAATTAAAATTTAGCTTTTGCCCAAGTGAAATTAGAACCACTTTCTCAAACACTACTTTCTATACATACAACATGGTTTAATAAAAAAAAAAAGTCGATTTTTCAAAAGTGAGACTAAAGAGAAAACAAAAAAAAATATGGAATCATGCATTTCGTAAATTAGATTTGTTGGACAAGCTGATCTATTAAGGAGGATTGTAATGTTAAAATTCGGATACAAATAGTGATAATATGAAAAAAGAGTATGTACAAGCTATGTTTTCAAGTCTTTCAAACACTTTCGAACAAAGACTGACAAAGAATACCTAATCTTATATTTGTAAAGAAGATCAGAATCTAATTCTAACAGATAGCTTTTTTTGACTCTTCTCAAATATTTTCGCTTGAGCAAAGAGTGTGCACATATATTTTCACAAAACTTTGGACCCAGCCGTCGTAAGCTCAAAGTCTATATGTAATAGGAGCTATTTGTCATGTGTAGAGATACAATAAAGCAATCGGACTTTGCACAATCAACTCTTACATAAGTGAAGGTCATTTCCACAATACAATGATGATGAATAAACGTTTCTATTTTTCTACGATTGAAATCTTTTTCTAGATAGGTTGTTCAATACACAAATATTCTCCTGAGCAAAAGATGATGTAACCGTACTCACGTATAGGTATTTTTCTTATGAATGGGAGGTGAAGTGGGAGGGAAAGAGTTAAAGCTTTCCTCTCCTCTGTCTCTGTACAAAAGAGTATTTGATCTTTTACTTTCATCCAGAAGACTGACGCTAGATAATAAATCTTGTTAGATCGTTATAAGAAAAAAGTCTAGGCATTCTTAAAAATGAGCTTTTAGTGGTAAAAAGTATACTTTGAAATTTGGGACAACATTTGTCATTTTATTCAATGACAACTTCAATTGTGATGTCAATTGCGATCGAAAATGTCTAAATACCCATACAAGAGAAGAAAATAACAGAATGCCATCAGATGATGACTGTTCTGTCGTATTTATCGATGTATTTATCTTCTTACCAATCGGAATATGTGTAAATTTAGAATTCTCGCCAGCGTGAATTTGCCCGTTTTGACCAAACCAGTGGAGGATTTTGGAATCAGGTCGATTGAGGTAAGATAAATCGCTCGGTACCGAATGATCACCTTCGCCAGTGATCAAGACGAAATTGTTGATCAAATGTGGATAGACTTTACTGAAGAATTTATCGATCGACCAACTACGTACATAGATAATACTGCCTGGAGGCAAACAAGGAGCAATGTGTTTTCCGTCGTCCGTTGTCACTTCAACGTTTTCAAAGAATTGATTCGGCCACCCGTAAATCCAATCAGCTAGATTACGAAAATTTTGTGGACAAACAAAATCGGGAAAATGACGAACGGAGTGCGTTAAATTGAATATGAGTCGATCTCGTCCGAGCTTAGAAATGTAAGGACACCACTTTTGACATTCCAGTGAAATGCTCTCCACTTTATACGATAAGTTTATATCATGTGGCCATCGTATATAGATAAGAAACAAGCCGACGAGTAAAAAAATGCTACCAATAATGTTTCTTACATAATATAATGTTCGACAATGCACCGTTGATGCCATGATGCGTATGCTCTTTCTGTTTTTCCTTTGATTACTTTAATAAGAAGTTTTGTGATGGATGGTAATTTTGTTCTGTCCGATGCACTGAAAAAAAAGGTACCATACAACATTTTCAAAAATTTCGATTTTTGCAACCAATCTAAACCACTTTTCGTTGTCGTACGGACCTACGCAATCCATCCAAAGTTCCGTAAACTCATGAAATATTTTTGGCAATTTACGAAACTTTGGATGGGCTTCGTAGGTCCCTTCGACAACGAAAAATAGTTTAGAATTGGCTGCAAAATTGAAACTTTTTAAAGTTTCGTATGGTACCTTTTTTTTCAGTGTGGTAGCGCTTGAGTAATCAATATTCTTGACAACGAAATGCACAGAACGAATGCACGAAGAAAAAGGCATTCGACGTCTTTTTTGCTTTGCTCACGTTCTGATGATGATAAATTGTTCTTCTCCAAAAAAATGCCTCTGTCAAAGTGTATCAACGGACGATAGCAGTGACTACCACTTTTTTTTATATTGTTCTTTCTCTTTCCATGTAATGTAAAACAAAAAGAAAAGATTCAACGAGTAGGAATTATTTTTCTTTCATTTTTTTTTTACATTCTAATAAGAATAAAATTTAAAGCAAGCATAGACTCCACCTCATTGCTAAATATGCGCTAGATAAATTGTTCGTTTAGATGATTGACACAAAAGAATAACTAGTCGATAATACTATGAGGGTGTGGGTGTGATTGCTAAGAATCGACAATCTGAAGGTAGCAAAATGCGTAATTTCTGAGAGAAAGGATTATATCGTCGAAAATATCTTAATTCAGCGAGTTTGTCCAAGTCAATTAGAAAACAATATGAACTAGATCAGTAGGAATAACTTTTATTAGCCATTAAAAATGTTGACCAACAGTAATTCAGCACAGATAGTTCACGTCCGAGATCAGTTTATATCTTATCATTATTATTGAATATTCGCAAAAATTTGATCAAGTATGTTGAAACGTTCAACTAATCGAATTCAAGATTCGCACTCATATGAATATATTTTTCTGTTATTCCTTTTCTGAAAGAATGTCCTATGTTGCAACAAGTTCAACATATGTCTATCTACATACCTGTCCATTTGTCACAGGCAACAAGACACAAGATTATCAGATAGGAAATAATATTTTTCCAATGCGATACCGCTATGATTTCACATAGAATAAACAATAGATTTTATATCAAATGAAATTGAAAACAGGATTTATTAGCATTGAATCATAAGGATTATGAAGTCATTCGTATGCCAAGCTCTGAAAATTTGTAATATTCTGCTGATAATAGGTATGAGATGAATGTTTCATGATATAAATTTTAAAGTCAATGTGATAAAAAATTAGGTTCATGTTTTCATCATTTAATGGATAAAATCAATAATCAATATGACGACCGTTATCGTGCTTTACTGCATGAAGTCGATATGGATATGAATATAAAAGAGTTTCCAATAATTGAGTATTTGTTTCCATGTTTGTCAAAACATTTAATATTTGCATGTTAAGTGTTTCTTCAAAGATAACAATTATGCCTAAATTCAGCTTAGTTATCTTGCAGTATACGCTGGTTCATATTTTTTCGTATACATAATGCTTTATTATAGACACATATAACTTCATTGACGTATCTCACGAAAGTATCAACCAGCCCGAAATTTACCTTCCGGTTTGATAATCCAATGTGATTTCTTAGCAGTAAAAATAACAAAAAACGTAATACACGCTTAATTTTTTATTATTTCATGATATCTTTCATGTTCTTCAATATCTTCGACACTTCTTGCCCGTATTCGTTCATTGTGATAATTTTA